TCATGCAAGGCTTAGTAACTCTGGTAAGCCACCAGACCAAGCTCAATCCAGGTTGCAGGTACGTGCTTTCTCCTCCGTCCTTGACCTTTTTTTTTTCAAACAGAACCTTATGGCTCTGGCTCCTTTCCATTCTGGGGAGCGTCAGTCCGGTTCCTATTCCACCAGGTAGTCAAATTTTACATAGTGGAACTCACCCACGCCCCTACCAGTAATGGTCCGGAGGTCCGAGTAGACGGCATTGATTTCTTCCCTTGGGAAGGATGTACCACCTCTCACCCCTGCCTAGATTAGCCTGTCTAACTACGGTGCCGTTCGCTCCTCTCAGCTTGAAAACTGTCTGGTATTAAATTGCGAAACTAGGGCTGAGCACCGTGTGCGTCCTTTGGTGATCGCCCTTATCGAGGTCGGCCTGTGCAACCAGGCGTTGCCCCTTCGGTCTGAAATCGTAGTGGCCTGCAGTCTGTGTGCTCCTGGTGCTGTGAACCCAAGCTCTATTTATACTATGTTGGAATCAGCAGACGTGCGGGTGAGTCTGTCCTATGGTTAAGGCAGTCGCCCTGTGTTCTCATGCTGTGTGTATGTTTGCACAGGACGCCTGTGACCGTGTGATGTTGGTGGAGGCTGGGGCTGTTAGGTGGAGTTCTCCTTGTTCACCTCCCTGCAGTCGCCAAACGAGTCTCGTGGTCGTGGGTTCTATGCTGCCCAACTTTCCTTCTCCGAGTCGGTCGTTGACGAACTTGTCGATGATGAGCTGTTTCTTAGTCGGGACCTCTTTGATCTTCTTGGTCGCCCGGCGCCAGCCAGCCTGGTATTCTATTTGCAAAAGTTGATGTAGCTGAATTTATGCTAAAAATATGCTGAGAATTATTCAAATCATTTTCATTGTGAAAATCAATCATGGGAGAATTGATTAAACTGCGGTTATTTTTGATAAAAAAGTTATTGTTTTGAAGAGCATTAATATTTCTCTCTTTAAAAGAATACTTATTACTCCAAAATACTTAAAAGAGTCCTTTGCCACGGTTCACTGAAACGTGGTTGTGCCAAACCCATCAGACAGGTGAGCAGGTTAGCAGGCAGAGGTGTGCCTGCGACCGAGTCCCAGAGGGCTTGCACTCTACTGCAAATCCTTTGTGCGTTTGAGCAGTGCAACAAGCAGTGGAGCATATCTTCCGGGGTCCCAGCATCACAGCTTGCGGAGATGTCTTTGAATTCTCTTCCGGCTTCTGTTGATCTCCTCCGACTGAGCCATTTGTTGACCGGCAGGGTCTGATAGTAGACCAGCCACTGCATGCTCCTTATCCGAGTGTTCCTGATGGCGAGAGGGACTTGCCAGTCACGTGTAGTCGTGTCTCTCCCACATCTGTGTGAGGATGCCGTTTGTATCCACCGCTCTCCGTCTGAGTTTGTATCCAAAATGGGTTGGACAATCCAAGATGGCAGTTCGCTTCTCAGCCCCGGTCGCTGATGCTGACTTTTCCAGGCCACTCCGCCGGGTCGAACTCCAGGTCTCGGAGGCTCGTTTCGGGCTCATATGCTCTGTATCCTTCCTCTTCCACTACTCTGATCTTCCTGAAGAGGGTCGGTCTGGCTGTAAACTGTGCCCTCCCCATTTTGGCCACCGTGCTGACCGTGTGTCCTGGTTGTTCTATGTCATGGATAGGCCACAGCCCCCAGTCACCTCCCAGTCCTGTTGCTTTGACGTACGACAACGCCTCTGTGGGTGTTGGCTCCGAGTCGCCAACTCCCCTGCAGTCCACCGGGCGGGGTTTGCAGCAGGGCAAGCCAGTCTGTCAGTATTGAATGCAGGAGAGTATCCAGATGCAGTTGCAGGTTGTGGCAGCCATTGAGGGTATCTCTAAGCTCTGTGCACGTCTTCCAACAGTTGCATTGGAAGTTCCAGATGTGTTTTACCTGCCATACACCACGTTCCAGCCAAGTGATCATCAGAGTCCAGGGTTCGCCAGTCGGGTCTTTCGCCCACTGGTTGCAGAAGAGCGGTTGGCGGAGGGCCTCGTCCTTGTTAGTCGGGATCCGAACTTTGGCGGGGAAGATCTCTTCCAAATCTTAATGAGGTACATCCACTATTCCGATCAAGTCGAAGGTGGCGGAAGTTGCTGCTGGCCCCCCATTGACCTTGTTTTCTTCTATTTTGTTTTTTTTTCGTTACACTGCAATTGCCTCCCACCTCCTCCCCTCGGGAAAATGAAGAAAGATATGACAACAGAACATCGGCCTATTGCAGAGAAGGTTAGTTGTAAACGGTTTGCTATTCCCAATCAGGTTTTATCGCCTTGACAAAACAAAAAAAGATCTTGCAAAAACAATAAAAACTTTAAAAAAGGATTCAATCATACCGATAATGAATAAAACTACCAACGGACGGAGCTCAGTTGGTACACCCATGAATTGTTGAAATACAGACCCGCATTTGAGTCCAGATCCAATCAGATGAACACAATAAAATGATTCTGAATTACCTCGGCCTGGTCA